GGGCGAGCCGGCCCAGCACCGCCCGCTCCTCCTCCAGCTTGCCCTCCTCCTCCAGGTCTGGGGCGGCCGCCTCATGCCCCATATCCACGCCGTCCAGCAGGCCTGCCAGCATCTTCAGGATGGCGTCCTTCCGCACTGTGCTCTGTTCCTGTGGGCAGAGAGCAGGGAAAGTGACGCACAGAGGGCCTGTCCCCCACAGCCATCGAGGTCCCTTCGTGTGCCCCTGCCATCCCTGGTGTCCTGCCCTTGGAGTCGATGCTTTTCCCTTCGGCAGAGCTGTGCCAGAGCTGAGGGATATGTGGCTGCTGAGGGCACTGCTCCTGTCTCCCCTCCCTGTCCAGCTCAGCCAGTTGGACCCTCACGTGTGCCATGTTACAGCTGGAAAAGAGCTGCTAACAAATAGACTTGAATTGGCTGTGAAGTCCCTCACTGCTCACACTAATTAAATTTCAGTGAATGCCAAGCTGCCTCTTCCCCTGGTCAGCCCGTGCTCCCTTCACTGCTCTGACTGCCCAGCATCCAGCTTGGGAAGGTCAGGGAAAAGGCACACGGTCCTGGGAAGAGGCACAGAGTCCTGAGCAATATTAAATTAAGCTCACGGGGGGATGTACTCCACTGTAAAATCATGCCTGAGCATTTCTGGTCTCTGTGGTTCCTTAGCAGGGACAGCTGGTACTGGCCAAGCTGGGATAGATGGTTTGACAGGAACAGATCCTGTTTCCCATGTGGATGGGAATCTTGGAAGCACATTTCCATGTCAGTCCTCACAAATGCCATATTTACTGCTGGGACTGCTGTCTCTGTCAGCACCAGCATTCACTAAGGACCACTTGGTGAGCAACTCAAAAGATGGATAAATACAGGCAGCAGCGATTATCCTGAGTTTACATTACAGAAGGTTTATGGGCATTTTTTAATCACTTTCTTAGCTCTAGTAACAAGCCTTGCTTCTGCACAAGGGGAACCAAGGCAGAGAAAAACTCCATGCTGTATTTGTGGCAGAAGAGAAGGTAAAGCCAGTTTGTGCTCATTCTGATTCCTCCTCCTGTGCTGCAAGTACAGAAGTGCCTTGAGCCTTTGGGAGATAGACTGGGACGGGGGAACCCCCTAAGTGTATCTCCTGGGTCATGTCTTCCTTGGAAGCTTCTTTCCTGGCTGTAAGTGTTGTGTTTGGAAATAACCGAGCAGAGCCAGCAGCATCAGACTGAGGGGTGGGGAAGGCAAAGCTCAGCCCGTGTTAGGGGATATTCCTTCTGCCTGATCAGCTGTGGCTGTCGGTGAAACCTGGCAGCTCTTCCCTGCACTAATCCACTGCTCACATCCTTTCTGCCTGGAGCTGTGCTCAAAGAGATCCACACTCTCTGGGAGCAGTTTGACATCTCAGCATGGTGGGTTGGGGCAAACCTTTGGGGAGCTGCTCCATTCCCTGTGCTCCATCCATCAGTGCATCAGAGGGAACACATCTTCCTTTTGCATTGTAATGCATTTTATAGGGGTATCAGAGGGAACACATCTTCCTTTTGCATTGTAATGCATTTTATAGGGGTATCAGAGGGAACACATCTTCCTTTTGCATTGTATGCATTTTATAGGGGTATCAGAGGGAACACATCTTCCTTTTGCATTGTAATGCATTTTATAGGGGCATCAGAGGGAACACATCTTCCTTTTGCATTGTAATGCATTTTATAGGGGCTTATATGTAAAATCCCGATGCTTTTCTTACTTAAAACATCTGTCTGAGTTACAGCAGTGGTGACTGCAGGGTTTGGTTCATCAGTATCTAACAGTTTTTCAGTTCGTAGAATGCTCTATAATAGATATAATGATTCTCTTTAATTGTATCATTATTTTGTAAGCAACAGTGCGCAGAAGACTAAGAGTCATTACACCCAAATTAATTTTTACCAAAGCCTTATTTATCAATTTATTCCCTACAATTTGTTTCTTTTTTTCCCCAGCAGCTGGGATTTGCACCAGAATTTACTTCTTAAAAAAAGAATTTACTTTTTAAGTGCTGGGTTCGTTACTATAAGAATGCGGAGCTGAAAGTTTCCAGTTATCCCCAGAAGGGTTAATCCCAGGCAGCTGCAGGAGCCCTGATCTGACAGAACTCCAGCCCCAGCACCTCACAGTGTGCACGGTTCTTTCTTGCAGCCAGTTTCGTTGTTAATGGGATGTGAGCCTGCTCCTGGAGCAGCGAGACACTGATGGATGAGCTGGAGCCAACACTGAGACAGAAAAAACGATGTGGACACGCACAAAGGAGAAGTTGGTGCCTGTGAAACCAACACTGGGATCCTTCCCTTCTCTGGAATAACAGCAGCCTTATGGATACAGCCTGAACTGGACTGATGACTAACCAGAGCTCAGAAGAACATCAGGGATGGCAGGGAACATGCAGGTGAGAGAACTGCAGGGCGAGGGCAAGAAAACAGGGCTTGTAATCATGTTATGCTATTGCTTCCTACCCCTTTGGCCTCTTAGGGAAACAGCATGGCAAAATAAAGTTATTATAGTGCTCTAGCCATTATAATATTAGGGTTTTGCCAGTTGGTAGGGTAATTATACTGCTATAATAAGTTCTGCCACTGCATAGAGCTGTGCTGGTTCAGAGTGTAATTATTCTAGCAGAACTATGTCAGTATAACTCCCCTTGTGAATACTACTCTGGAAAAAGCAATTTTATTCTGATATAATTACTTCATTTATGATTCCTCTGTTACTTTCCTACTGAACCCATCTTTTAAACATTTGTCCTTCCCATGAGTCCTATTTAAAATATCATCTCCCTTGATCATTTTACCAATTATGTATCTTTTCTCTCCCTCCCTAGTACTCTGCTTTATTCTCTCATGCTGTACCATTTCAGTAATATTTTCTCCTTTTCCCTCTGCTCTCTGCTGTTCATTTTGCCAGTTTTTGCTTAGCTCAGACTTCACTTTTGCAGCCCCTGGCATCTGGTACCTTTCTAAATCAGCTGGGTAGAGCTGTAGGAACAGCCCCAGGGTCAGCAGCATGTGAAGCTGTAGTGCCTTGGAATATAGAGGGGTGGGAGAGTTGTTTGCACCAGGTAAAGCCTAACTGCCCTTATCCCCCCTCCCCTGGCTCTGTCCTCACCCAGCTCCTGCCCAGGGTGGGTTTTACTCACCCTGGTGCTCTGGATGGCCAGTCTCTCTTCCCCAGGCAGTGCCGTGGCTCTCACGCTCCACACCAGCAGCAGCATGGACACCAGGCTGGCCACCAGCTGCATGATGCACAGGCTGGGACTGGTGCTGAACGAGGAAGACTGGGAGAGGGAGCTGCTCCTGGGCTCTCTTCTGCCTCAGACAATGGCTGCAGCCCCTTTTATAGCCCTCCCCCAGCCCAGTGGGTGACGCAAACAATTAAGTCTATATCAAAGGCAAATTAGACTTTGGAGAGGTTGTTAACACTTGGCTGCTTGAGTGGGATACTTCAGTGCCTCTGGGCTCTCCATGTGCCAGACCTGCAGAGATTGAGGAAGCAAAGGCTTGGGACACTCCAGTAACATGCTGTTTCTTCACTCCAAGAAATTGTAGGCACTCTCTGTGCCTCTCCTAGTTAGCTGGATTCTGTTTGGGAAATAATGTTGGGTAGAAGAGGCCACCAGCTTGCACAAACCTGGATGATTCAGAGGGAAGAGGTAAAACTTCTGGCCATCAGTGCTTAGATATGGTCTTGGACCCTCAGCTGGTGTGTCCAAACAGCTCCAGGCTTTCAGGGTGTTTGGATCTGGGTCTCTGCATCGAGCAATGCAACTCACTGTGGGATGCCAAGATGCCTGGCTTTCCCTGTAGGGTAACATGGGGACAGAGCTGCAGCTGTGCAGTTATATCCTCTGTCTGGAAAATGCACATCAGACCACCTGGAAGCCTGCTGAGGGTTATGGGGTCTTGTTCCTAGTGTTGCTTCAATCCCTCTTGAACCTATCCCAGGAGTGCAGGTCAACACAGTGGAGATGCTGGGTTTAAATGTGTTAAAAACCAAGTACTGAAAGGCTGGTCAGAGCTGGAGCTGCTCTGCCCTGAGAGGCTTTAAAAGGCTCCTGCTCTGCTGGCACTGACCACAGGCTGCTTGGAGTGTGTTCCTACCACTCCTGGTCAGCAGTTAATAATGCCTCCTCCTTGCCCCAAAAGCTGTCCCAGCAGTGGGACTAGTCCCTGGGCCAGCAGAAAGTGCTGCTAAGCACTGCTGTCTGCATTGTCCCCATCACTTGCCTGTGACATGCCTGTGAGATGCAGAGCTGAGATCCCAGCTCACCACCAGCCCTTTCTCCAGGAGCACTCGCCTCAGGGCAAGTCTTCCCCTGACCTTAACAACAAATGACAATCAAAAGATAAATTGTTATCCTAATTTAGCACATTAAAAAAAAAAAAACACAGGGAGGTGACTTGGCCAGGGGATGCTGTGGCAGAATTAAGAACAGAAGGCAGGAAAACCTGTTCCCCATTTCTCGCTCTTACCAGCATTACAGATCCTGGAAACAGCATGATGGAACTTTGCCTGCAAATAATCCAGCTCCTAATGCCAGCTACACCAGCTCTTGAGGGAAAAGATGCCACCACTTCCATGCACACTGTAAAAGAAATGCTGATTCCCTCATTGAAAGGCAGAAAAAACCCTTTCCTGAGTCACAGAGCCTTGTGGGGGAAAAGTAACAATCTAGCAATTTCTGGAAACGAATTTTCTTGGAAAACTTTGTAACCTCCTTGTTTCTCACCCTCCCCAACTGAGAGGTGGCTGCCACGCACCACTTCGAGATGAAACATTATCTGTTTCCTTTGAACCTGATCTGGCTGGTTTATCAGAATTGCCGGATAATGGATTCTGTCAAACAGTTCCCAGCCAGCCCGGGGCTGAGGCAGAGCAGGAAAGCTCCGGGCTCCAGCGAGCACAGAAACCACAGGGACCTGCCAAACGACCCGCAGCCGATCTGCTCCAGGAGGGGTGAACTGGGGGAAGAGCAAATGGAGAAAACACACTTGGCTGCTCAAGGGGAAGGAAGGGCAGGTCCTGGGAGTGTGAGATGTGCTGGGGCTGACAGGTGAGCCCTGCACTGGGGCTGTGAGCTGGACTCACCCCGTGGGCCGTGCAGACAGCAGGGGCAGTGCGGGCGGGTCTCCATGCTGGGCCCATCTGCTCTGCCCACGCTGCTCGTTCCAACAAACACAGCTCTGTCTGCAGCTTCCCCTCGGAAGGGGCTGTTGTCTGTAATGCTCCACTGAGAGACTGGGGTCACAAGTGTGACGATGCTCCTACCAGAAAAGGAAGTGGTGAGAGATCAGCTGCTGGGAAGGCTCACAGGGATGTAAAGGGTGACCAGGCTGCCCTGAATCTGCCCTGGGGTTAAAGGGCAGTAACAAAATAACTGTTACCTCCTGAGCAGGGGTGACTTTGGAGAGAGCTCCTGCCCAGATACTCCAGCACCAAACCTGTGGCCCTGCTGACAAGCACAGCCCAGCCAAAACCTGTGTCTAGCCTGGGCAAGGCTGGGTGTCTGTTCCCAGCTGGGAGGGAGGGAACAGGGACACATCAAAGCACTTACACTCCAATGCCCACAGTAGGACTGGATCTCTAAATCCAGACCAGTTTCCTCTGGGCTCTGCTACAGCATGTCTCAATATCAGACACCTTTTTTTCAGGTTGCTCCATTTTTTCTAGTGCCCTTCCCTTTCCTCACATTCCCTCTGCTGCTTCCCCTAGTTAGTCTGTCCTCTGGCCCCTTTGCAGACCCTGCTGACCACCTCCCCACCACAGGCTATAGCACCATCTCCTTCACCAAAGGAAGTCAAATAACTCTGTGGTGGTAAAATTTGTTCTTTTTAGTAATTGGATAGAGTTCAACATACAGCACCAGGGTTGTTTGTACTTCCTACTGTTCCTATCCCGTGTGCATTGGCTGTCTGACCTTTAAGAAGGCCCCAATTATTATTTTTTTTTGCCAACCCTTAAAAGCTTATCACCCTGTACAGGAAAGGGTAAAGGTCTGCCCTTGGAACAATAAACATTTCTGATAATTTTTTCCTCTTACCACTTTCTCCCTGTTATCTGAAGTCATGTTCCCTTTGGAAGTCGTGTTCCTTGATGCTTTCCTGCCCCCAGCTGCACATGGCCTGAGTGGGTTTCTGCCACTTCACAGTGAGGGTAGATCTGTCTGAAATCAGAATGCCTTTGAACACATCCCTGGGAGCCCGGCAGGGTGGGGATGCTCCAGAAGGAATTCCTGCATACAGTAACTTGAAAAGGCCCGGCTCTCCCAGGATTTTGTCCCACAGTCAGTGTGGCTCCAGCAGAGATGCACAGTGGGTTCAGGAGCACAGCAGAATATGTTTCCACAACCACACGAGACAACCTCCATCTTTTCGTGACTAAGGCTGCACAAACAACATGCACTGGGAGAGGTTTTATCATTCAAGAAAGAGGCCCCTGACCTCTCCTCAGTGAGTCTGTGCAGCAGCAAAGACTGGGCACTGCTGGAACACAAAAACTATGACTGTGTCTGACACTAAATGACACACTAAGGAATGAGATTATTTCTCAGTTGCCCTCCTATATTTGCTGGATATTTGCTGCCTTCTGCCCCTTTGTTGCCTGGTCTGGGCTCAGGTCACCATGCCTTGAAGCACGTAGCAGAACCACATCAGGCTTCCTGCACGGTGTCTGGTTCCCAAAGGTGAGGCACTCAGCTGCAGCTGAAGGAAGGGTTCCAATGCCTTCCTGTCATTGCAGTCCTTGCTCTCTGCCCTCGAGAGTCCCTCGTTGCAAAGGCCAATGCAATAAATAAAGCAGTAGTCAGCTGACAGTTGTGAGCCTTCCTGGAAGGGGAAACCAATTTGTTCAGGGGCCTGAAATCACAGCTCATTTCTCAGGCAGTGTTCCCTGGCACTGTGCTCCCCAGGGCCCCGGAGGAGCATGCAGGTGGCTGTTCCAGCCTTGGCTTTCCACTGGCACTAATCTAACAAACCCAGGGAAGAGACTGTGGGAGCGTGGGCTGGAGCCTCATCCCTGCTCAGAGCTCAGAGCAGGTGCAGGAGGAGGAGGGGAGGGCCCAGGGATGCTGCTCTCACAGCACACACGACTGCAAGGCTGTTCCAGCTCTCTGGGGAGCGGGAGCTGGGGGAGCTGTGCTGCCTCCTCTGTCTGCCGACCCCAGGGGGACTCAGGAGGTGAGGGGGGGCCAAGCAAAATGCCTCAGTGGTGCTCAAAGCCTTCTGTAGAACCGAAAAAAGGGAAATTTAGGTTAGATATTTATTGGGAAGAAATTTTTTACTGTGAGGGTGGTGAGACACTGGAACAGGCTGCCCAGGGAGGTTGTGGATGCCTCAACCCTGGCAATGTTCAAAGCCATGTTGGATAAGGCCTTGAGCAATCTGGTCTAGTGGGAGGAGCCCCTGCCCATGGCAGGAGGGATTGGGACTGGTTGATCTTTAAGGTCCATTCCAACCCCTTAATATTCTATGATTTTATGATTTAACTGCATGTGAAGTTAAACATTAAACACCAAAATCTTCCTTAGAAAATAACTAATCACCATGAAACACTATTTCAAAGTACCTGTTTTCCAGTGCAAACATGTTGCCTGGCTCCAGGCTGGAGTCATTTCAGGTTGTGAAGCCTGGGGTTACTACTGCTGACCTCTGCTACACCAAAGTTGTCCCTTTGGTGGCAGGATTGGCCGGACAAGACTTGGATAGAAACGTTCCCCTACCATTTGGATCACCTGAGGGATTGCTTATGCACTGCACCTCGTGGGAATTCCAAGAGCTCACCAGGGATGCTGACACATGGACCTGTGACACTGTCAGCACCACAGAAGGGACCACTGGGCTGGGAGAGCCTTGAACAGGAATTGCAGACAGGCTGGGGCTCTGGTTCCTGCTCTCCCCCAGCTGAAGGGGGTGAGACACACACAAGGTCATCACACACATCATCCTGCTCTTAACCCTGGCTCACAGAAGTAGCTTTGTTAAGTAAATCCTCTCTGGACATGCCCAGCCCTGGGCTGCTGCAGCAGCCCTTCAGTACCAAGCAGAGGCAGCCCCTCCTGCAGGGTACCTGTGGGGTCCCTGCTCCAGCACCCTCGGCACTTCAAGCCCCATCAGCCAGGAGCTGGTGTCCTTGAAAGGCCTGCACTGACATCCCCAACATTTGCAATAATCCACCCATCTTTATGTGCCTCACACCTCACTGTGCTGTAACTGTGATTCCCTGGCTACAATTCCCCAGCTTTTGCATATTTGAAAAGCACTTAACTCCATCCTGTACGTGACTAGGAAACAGCATCCCCCAGACTTCTCAGCATTTGACTTGGTTAAATTTCTCATCTTACTTTTTAACAGCATTTTGCCCGACTCTTTTGCTAGACCTGAGCTGCTGTTTCATGTTGTCCACACTTTTCCCTCTTCTTCCCCCACCATGTTACCAAGGGAACTTTCCTCTCCCTGAACTTCGTGGCACTTGTTAATACTTTTTTGACTGCTTGCTTACCAAGGCTGCTGTTCTGATGAAAGATGAATGTCATTCTTCCTTCAGCAGTCCCTTGCTCCAGCTCTCAGCCCCATCAATAATTCAGCCAGGCCTCGACAACATTAGCTCTGGGTGAATATACCACACTCATGCCAATTAACTGACTGAAAGGGCTCGGGAGAGACAGGCAGGAGATTTCTCTTAATTTTATGAAGCTCTTTTCTGAACTTCTAAAAACTGAGTTAGTTCAAAGAATAAAATCAGAGCAGAGATTCTGACACAGTTCAAGAGGTGCCAAGAGACTCCAACAATGGATGTGCTGAAGCCCATCAGGCTCCTCTCCCTCGCTTGTCTCCACCTGCTCTGACTGACACAACACTGCACGTTCCCTGGGACAGAGCCTATCCCTGCTCATGTGCTCCTGACTTAATGAGCTGCTGGAACATGACTGCAGCATGTCTAGACAAACATCATCTCGGTGGCTCTTTGCTTATGAACAGCCTTGCCCGTGGAGAACAGTGACTTGGAACGACTCGGAAACTATATATAGGGCCCTGTGGATGGAGTGTGTGTGACTTGGATGGGAAACAGCCTTGTCTTCCTGCTCTCATCACTGGCCACTTGCTGAACTTACACATTTGGAGAGAGCTCAAAGAACCAGAAGGAATAATTAGCTGTGTGGAGGCCAGGTTTGAGGAAGCTCTTTCCCTCCTGGGCATTGTTGTACTCACCAGGGGTGGGTGAAAGGCTTGAACTTGTTACTAGTTGGCTGCTGCTCTAAGGCCTTCCTGGACTACACTCCTGGTCTTGATTCCCGTTCCAGGGGAAAGTGCCAGAGCTAGTTTTCTGTCAAGGACGAAGGGATGAAGGGGGTTCAGGTCCCACAGGGATTTAAACAGGAGGAGCTAGAACCATTACTGACCTGCTCTTCATAAAAATATTAGAGTTGAGCAATGAAAATGCCTCATTAGCCCAAACGACTCGGTAGCTGTGAGAGAAAGGAGACAGTTACCCAGACAATTAAAAGAGACAAAATGGGGGTAAAATTCCAAACACAGAGGAGATCCAGACTCAGCTCTGCAGCTCAGCAATGCTTTGCAAATCCTCACGACCTCCAAGAAGCTGTACTGATACAGGTAGCAGAAGAGGGCACTGGGAAAGAACTGACAAGTCTCATCAGAAAGGGGAGAAAGCAGGAGGGCTGGTACTGGCCCCACAAGTCCCTTGCTGTGGGCACACAGTGGTTGCACCATCAAGGCTGTTTGTAGGGTCACAATTGTGGTAAAGCTCAACCTCAACCTTTCCTCAAGTCTGCTCCTTCTGTTTCTCTCTTAACAAGCCCCAAAGGCCTCTCTCAGAAGCAGCTTTTTGCCTTCTCCTGATGCCACCTAGTGCCTGTCCCCAGCCTGCTCAGCCAGAGCTCAGCCCTCGGAGCCACCACAGCTCCTGCAGAGGAAAGGAGGGAGTGGGGCCAGGACTGCCAGGAACTGCCTGATGGCAGCAGGGAGACAGCAGCTGGAAAACACCTTGGAAAACTGTACCCCAGGCAGCACGTGGACTGGAGCACAGCTTGGGTAACAGGTACTGACACTGCAGCGGGAGCTGTTGGGCTACAATACAAAACAAGCAATGGGATCACTCTTCAGAGCTTTCTTTGGATGAGAACTTGTCATCCCCAGAGATGAGGGAGAGAGGAAGTCGGAGTGACTACAGAGAGCCCCTGGAAGCACAGCAAACCCTCAGGATCTCTGTTTCCCCTCCCTGTCTCCCCAAAGAACACCGACCCACGTTGGTGTCCCCTTAACCAGAGCCGAGTGTTTAGTGGAGTGCAGGGAGGGACAGGGCACAGTGGGTGTGCTGGGAGGGGGATCCCACTGAACTGGGCACGGAGCCTTCGGAGCAGAAGTAAAGGAGTGGAGGCAGATCCATCTCACAGAGTACAACGGAAAACAACTTATGCATCTGGGGGCAGCATTAGAAATAATGATGCCTCCTAAGGACTTGCAAATACCCAGGCCCGAGGCAACTCAGCATGACTGAGATGAGAGATTTGTCAGCACAGCTGATTCCCCAACATCAGTACTGAACAGCAGGCAATGGAGCTAAGGTTTGTTTTTTATATATATATATATTTATATTTATATATATAAAGCGCCTATCACCATATTGATAAACATTCTTTGGAATCACTCTGAGGGCAGAGGTAAGAACAGGAATTAGCCTGTGGGTACCTCAGCACTACTGTTTCCAACCAATTTAAAAAACAAAAATTAAAAAAAAAAAAAAAAGCCACAAGACTTTGCTGCCAGCCTGCCTGGCTGGTGTTTAATACTGCTACTCCATCAGGGTTGGAGGGAGACCTATTGTGAATGGCAACAGTTTGCACTGTGACTTCTCCAGCCGTGCTGCAGAGCAGTGCAGGTGTCACAGGAGGGCAGAGGGACACGGAGGCTCAGACCCGTTACCAGTCAAACGTCTCAGCAGTAGGGAGCTCCCACGAGGAGAGAGCGAAGCTCACCGTGCACAGAGCTCTCACTCTCTGTGCTTAAGGCCGAGTCAGGGACCCTTTGGACTCTTCCCAGATCACCAGACAGAAACATGTGTCAGTTATAAATACATCATGTCAGTTGGGGGTGGAGGTGGGACGGGGGCACAGGGACGGGGGATTTGGGGTGGGTGCAGGGAGGAGAGAAAGGAAGAAGACACCTTACGTTTCCAGCACTGGAAAGAACAGTTTTGACCTCACGCAATAAGTCACTGGACCTTTTCAATAGTCTTATCTGGCTTGTGCCCCATCATCTGTTACACATCAAAGGGAATGTTGGCTGGCAAACGGGTTAAACAATCCCACACAGTGGAGAGCAAATCTGCAGTCTGCTGGGAAGGTCCCAACCACATCACTGACGATCTCAGGGTCCACCTTGAAGGAAGGAAGCAGCTTCTCAGTCTCACACATCGCTCAGCGCCTGCAGACAGACAGAGTGTCAGGAGGGACCTGCCACAGCTCTACCAGTCCTCAGCAGAAGTATGAATCACCACCTCTGAAACACAACCATGGCATCTGCCTTCATCCCTAGGATGCTCTTAGGAGTTTTTTTTTCCTGAACCTGCAGTTGCAACCCAGTCAGGAGATGATGGAATAACGCAGAAATCCTTCAAAAAGGCAGGCTGAACTATGCTGGAGTATCCTTTCTGTACCCTCTGGTTTCTTCTAGAAACCATAACCACACTTGATCTAAGACTTTTGGAGTTTTTCAATGGGAAACACCAGTTCTGCAGGCTCTGGGACTCAGTTTTGGCAGGTGAAGTAGGAGTGATCTGCCATCAAGGCACGGTACATGAACCCAAGGAAGCTTCAAACTGAACTCCAGCCTTCCCTGACTGACTCATCCTCTGCTCTGTCATACAAAACGCTGTCCTGCTCCGACTTGCCCACAGAAGCCTTTGAGGCTGCAGGAAATCCTCAGTCCTGCCCACTCCCACTCCCACCTCATCCTGGACAGAGGCACAGCAGCAGAGCCCGGCTCACCTTCCGTGCAAACTCGGGCAGGATGAAGGCTGCCCGGTGGATGTCAGAGTTGTAGTACTTCAGACTCCTCTCCTCCACTTGCTGCTGCGAGAGCTGCTGCACAGGCTCCCGGAAATTTGTGTTCTGCAAGAGCAAAGCCAGGTAGCTCTGAGTGCCTGGGTGAGGAGCCAGGGGCTGTGTGACAGGCACCCTGACGTGTGGCAGAGAACCAAGAGGACTCGCAGGAGAACAGATGACTTTCTGTTCTAGCATGAGGTCAAAGGTTCTGCTCAGCTCCAGCCCCAAGGGCTGGGGTTCACTCTCTGTAACTCGTGTGACCAGCCCTGATGCACAGATGTCAGTGCATGAGGTCAGACTGGGTGAGCCCTGTGCCAGATGAAGCTGTCAGAGTGCCTGAGCATCCAAGAAAGCAAGGCTTTGCTGTTCAGAGCAGAATCCATGTCTGTGTTAAGTCAGGCACAGTGCATGCTGCCAGCACCCCAGATAAATCATGTACAGCAGCAGCACTGCTGGCCCCAAAAACCCACCTGACAGTTGGTCTCACAGAGTAACCAGCCCACATCCCAACACTGACTCTCCCTCGGAGGCCTCTTTACGAGCAGATTACCAGTCACAGCCTGATTCTTATCAAGCAGGTGCCCACCTTGCAACAGCCAACATCAACAAGACAAAGCCTTAACAGGCTCTGGGAATTGGTAGCAACTTCTTCCCTTCCAAGTTTGTTGTACTAGACAGAAACCCCTGTCCTTTTCTAAGGCAGCTGGTCAGCTCTGCAGTTCACCCAGCACTGAGCAGGCTGCATTGCAGCTCTGGGACTGCATGGGTCTGGAGGCCCCACAGCTGGGAGAGCTCAGTGCCACAGCTCCAGCTCTTGGGGACAGCCTCAGGCAGACCCTGCAGGTGCTTCCAAGCAGTGGAAAAGGGTACCTGAGGTGTCGGAGACTCACCGGGTTCTTGCTGCAGAGCATGAAGCCAATCTGCCCGCTGGGATACGTGGGGATGGTGCAATAGGCGTATTCCACCACCGGGAACAGAGACTTGCAGAACTGACGCATCTCCTTAATGAGATCCAGGTGCAGCCACTGGCACTCACCTGCAGGGAGAGAGGAAGGCAGGATGCAAGGTGAGAGCTGCCCCCCTTCTCTGTGCCAGGTTAACAGCGCTTCCAAGTCCCAACCTGCTCTGCTCTGCACAGCTCATGTGGTTTCAAAGGCAAGACCAGACCCCTACGCCAGTTTTGCTAAGCTCAGTCCAGCAGTCTGAGCTGATGGAGACAGACCAAAACCACAGCTGTACCTGGGAGCTGAAATGCTTTCACTCCCTGCATCACGTCTCCCCAAGAAGAGTTCCCCCTGTGCCTCACCCTTGGCACGCAGTGGTCTGGCATCACCCTCTGCCCAGCCACAGCACCCTCACCTTGGCAGCAGAGAATCCCATCTTCTCGCAGGGCTGTCTTCATCAGCTGGTAGTAAGATTCTTTGAATAAGCTTTCTGCAGGACCTGGGAGAAAAGTGAGTGAGACCCTCAGCCCGCACTCAGCACAGCAAAACCATCAGGATTTCAGCTTTGTTCTGTAGCAAGCCCAGGACCTTTACCAAAGGAAGTCATAGCAGCTGCCTTTTGCTCCAGGGAGCATTTTTTAAACAGAACTCCTTCTCCAAACTGCATTTTAGAGATGCCTCTCCTGTGTTGACTACAGCAAGAGTGAAGGTGGCTCAAGCAGTCGTCATCGCCTAAAATGAGGTGTCATATCTACATTTGGTCCCTCTCTGCCTCAGTTTTCCCCTTCAGAAATACAGCAGCCTCACCACAGCCATCTTTGGGATGGGTGCTACACCAACAGTGTGTGAGCCACTGCTTCATTGGTACATGTGCAAAGCTGTCCTTGCCAGCATGGTGCTGTATCCCCCACAGGATTGCTGGTCTCAGGGATCAGCTCTGCCAGAAGCAATTGCTGCTGGAGTTGAATTTTGAGGAGAGAAACGCGTCAGCTGCTTGAAGCCTTGCTAATACAATTTTCTGGTTCTCATCCTTCCCTTTCTCTACCAAAAGAAGCAAGTCAGCAACAGTCTTTCACTTGAAAGGAGCCTGGGCAGGCTGGCATAACTTCCAAGAGGTAAGCAGAAAAGGAGGGGGAGTGTGGAAAGTAGTGCCCTTTTATGGCAGAATTCTTACCCATGGGGTCAGACGAGTCCGTGATAATCACATCAAAGGCTTCTTGATTTTGTTTCATGAACTCAAAACCATCTCCCACATGCAAGGTCAGCTTAGCGCTGGAATATCCCACTGCCATGCCTGGGAGGTATTTTTTGGATACCTGGATCACATCCTGCAGCAACACAGAGAGCACAAGTGGGTCAGCGGGGGCTACAAGGAGCTGCTTCTCAGGCTACTGTGCAGTTGCAACCGAAGGAACAGCACAGTGAGTCATTTCCTTCCATGCCTTCAGCACAAATCCGACTCAGCCAGCGAGATCCTCAAGAGCTGTCAGCATCTTCAGCCAACAAGCTACACTCAGCCCTTTCCTACGGCCTCAGGGTTCAGTGACACTGTTGGTCTGTCCTTGCCAAACTCAACAAGAAGCTGGAGCTTCAAAGGCTCCCTGAGGAACTGAGTGAACACAATCACAGAGCAGACTGCTCTGTGCCCTTTCTCCCTCTGGACACCGTTGCAGAGGTGATCTCCCTTTCTCCCCTCCTAAATGAAACCATGCCAGCAGGTTTCTAGATGCGAGATGAGAAAGATCCCCATCTCTGCTCCATAGCCATTATATCAGTCCCCTGATAAGATAGTTTTCTCTCTAACATGGTTAGACAGGCACTGCCCTGGGCCCAGCAACTGTACGGAACACTACCAGCTTCTCACAGCTGGCAGAGACAAAAAATATGCTGGTGTCAGGCAGTGCTTGTTCAAAACCAGGCACGTTTGCCTACTTAGCTTGGCAGACTGTGCACACATCTCACATAGCAGTGTTTCCCATTCCTAATAGAGCCCTCCTCTGAGCAAAACTTCCTAAGAAAGTAAAATATCAGAACAAACTGGCCGAGAGGAGGAGGACTAGCCCATTTATCATGGAAACAAATCCCCCTTTCTTATTTCCTGCTTTCAGTCGCCTGGGACTGCTCAACACAGCGACCATCCTCCTCGGGCAGGAGCAGCAGTCAGTTCAGCAGCGAGGCAGAGGGAAAAGCAGCACCTCCACAAAGCCAGGGCGCTCCTCCAGATCCCGTGCTTGGCCCACGCCGGCCTGGAAGGGCCTCAACCGCATGTGTGTGAAAGAAATCACATGGAAGAGGCAGCCAGCTGCCACGTAGATGACTTGTAAGGCAAAGAGGTGGCGCTGTCAGTGTCACGCCAGCAGAACCGGCAGCAAAGGCGCCCGGTGCTGACAAGGGGCAGCAGGTGAAGCCGCAGCTCCCGTGGATGCTGTGAGGCCGGGCTGCTTCTGCCGGGCAGCCCGCCCG